AAGAACATACACACACAGAAGAGAATACAAGAGATTAAGAATAAAGGCTTTCTCATTCATCATTATTAAAAGATACATGAATACAACTATTTATATGAAATACTATAACTGTATAATTCTATTAACATTTTAATAGAATAACTAACGCTTATTTTTGGATTACTATACAACACTCTCCTTTAATAAAAAATATGCAACAGACTTTATTCCTAACAAATCACTCAATTTTTCAAATCTCTCTTGCCTAAGTGATTTAGTAAAGACATTTGCCACTTAATCTTCAGTGCAACAATGTATAAGCTTTAATCTGCCTTTGCTTACTTGATCCCTTAGAAAGTGAAAATTTGTTTCTATATGTTTGCTTCTGCCATAAGATACTAGATTTCTGGACATGCTTATAGCTGATTTGTTGTCAACGAATAGTTGTACTGGTTTCTTATACTCCAATTTCAGTTCTTTCAACAATGCCTCTAGCCATAGGCTCTGACATGCAGCTTCTGCAAATGTTATGTACTCTGCCTCATATGAAGAGAGTGTTACAACGCCTCGTCTCTTTGAGCACTAGGAAAATGGTGCATTCAGATACTTGAGCAAATAGCAAGATATACTTTTTCTCTCCACTTTATCACCACACCAATCAAAGTCAGCAAAGGCTTCTATATTTGTTTCGATCCAATCATCTCTTTTCGGGAACAACAGGCGATAGTCATGTGTACCTTTTATATATCTCAATATAAGTTTAGTTGTAGCCATATGAGGGACTCTTAGATCACTCATAAATCTACTTACTAGCCTAACTCCATAGCTAACATCGGGCCTGCTATTCCACAGGAACCTGAGTGACCCAAAATGTGCTTAAACAGTGTTGCATCTACAGTTTTCTCAACCAGTTCTTCAGTTAACTTCAGATTTGCTACCACTGGTATAGGTGCTGCATTACCATTTCCATATTGAACCTTTTCAGTACTTCACAAGTATATCTCCTCTAATGTAGGAATATTCCTTTATGGGTGTGCATAAACTCAAGACCAAGGAAATAATTGAGAATTCCCAAGTTAAACATTTCAAATTCTGATTTCATCCTCCCCTTGAATTGCTCAATTTCAATCTGCTCACTTCATATGACAATTAAATCATCCATATAGAGACACAAGAAGTAAGTTCCTGTGTTGAGTCTCCTTTACATACACACCAAATTCCATTGTGCACTTCACAAATCCTTGCTTGGATAAGAAAGCATCAATCAACTTATTCCAAACTCAAGGGGCTTATTTAAGGCCATATAAGACCTTCTTCAGTCTATACACCTGATGTTCTCTCCCTTTTGATTTCAAATGTTGGTGGCTGCAAGACATACACCTCTTTCTCTAAGGGGCCATTGAGGAAGGCTAACTTAACATCAAGCTGGCACACAACCCATCTTCTAGAACTAGCAATAGCAATCGTAAGTCAAACTATCTCCATCCTTGCAACTGGAGCATATACTTCTGTGTAATCAGTTCCTTGTTTTTGAAGGAACCCTTTGGCTACTAACCTAGCCTTGTGCTTGGCAATGGTGCCATCTGGCTTGAATTTGACTTTAAATACCCATTTCACATCAATAGGATGTTTGTTCTATGGCAAATCCATTAACTCCTAGGTTCTATTTTTCTCAATTGCTTCTAATTCCTCAATCATGACATCCTTCCATTCTCTAATATCAAGAGTCTGCTTCCAGTTTAGTGGTTCAGTGTCTGCCATAAATGCAAGGTGTACCATCTCACCATTGTCAAAAACTGCAATGTCACTATATAATCCATGATCTACAAGTCTAGTGAAGGGGAATCTCACTCTCTACGATCTTCTTGCAGTAAGTTGAAAAGGATTTGAAAAGCTATCATGCTTGGTCTGTGTACTTTCTTCAAAGATACATGGAATATGGGTTCAAGATTCACTTTCCCAATTCCATGATGCAATTTTCATCCATAGTGACATCTCTACTGATCACAATTTGTTGCTTCACTGGATTGTACAACTTATAAGCATCAGTTGGATGATATCCAACTAGTATACGACTTTCACTCTTATCACCTAGCTTTTTTCTTCTCTCATCTAAAATGTGTCTATAGCATAGTGACCCAAAAATCCTCAATGATGCACAATAGGCTTATCTCTAGACCAAGCTTCTTCAGGTGTGACTGTTTTAAGTCTCTTTGTTGGACATCTATTCAGTACATATGCAGCCATGGACATTGCCTCACCCCAATAGCTATGAGGTAACCTTTTTCCTTTGAGCATGCATCTAGCCATATCTAACAAAGTTCTATTCCTCCTCTAAGCTAGGCCATTGTGTTGAGGTGTATAGGGTGTTGTCACTTCATGTTCAATACCCTTTGCATCACAAAATTCATTGAATTCTTTAGAATTATACTCACCACCACCATATGTTCTAAGTATTTTTAACTTAAAATCAATTTGTCTTTCAACCAAGGTACATAATTTCACAAATAGGAAAAACACTTCACTTTTCTCTCTTAACAGGTATATCCAAATCTTTCTAGTCAATTCATCTACAAAGGTTAGAAAATAATTGTTGCTGCCAAGAGATGGGGTATCAAAAGGACCACATACATCTAAGTGGACAACACCAAGAGGTTGCTTAGCTCTTTGAGGTGCAGTGTCTTGAAAGCTTTCCTGGGTTGCTTGTCTATCAAGCATCCTTCATATGTTTTTTGTGGGGGGTTTAATCTGTGACAAATCAAACACCATTTGTTTACTGCTGAGTTGATTTAAACTTTTAAAGTTTAAATGACCATATCTGTAATGCCATAGTCAACTTTCTTACTCAGTATTGATGGTGGGTAGACATTGAATTGCAGCAGCATTTAAGTTGATTTTGAAGGTTCTATTTTTGGATAGGGGTGCTTTGAGTACCAGCCTTTGCTTATAATCATATTTTTGATATAATTCTATTGCATTGCAGGTGAAGCCCTTTTCTAACAGCTGCCCCAGACTGAGTAAATTGTTCTTCATTGTTGGCACATACAACACATCATTCATATATGTTGTTCTCTCGTCCTTGCGTGCGATCATCACCTTCCCTATTCCTTCTGCAGAAATAGTGCTATTGTTAGCAAGCCTCACACTAGTTTAACATTTGGATTAAGATCTATCAACCAATCCCTAATTCTTGTCATATGATTCGATCACCTTGTATCAAGGTACCATGAGGAGCAATCTTCATCATTGTTTGTGGTCATCATTAGTAGCACCTGATTTGAATCAAATCCATCATCCTCTTGTGCCAAATGAACTTCATCATCTTTCTTGCCTTTGTTGTTGCATTGCCATTACTACCTAGCCAACACTCATAAGAGTAGTGACCAAATTTATTACAGTTATAGCACTACACCTTTCTTTTATCAAGATTCCTTCTACTGCCTCTCCCTCTATATTGGTTGCCTCCTCTGGGGTTTGGATTCTTTCTCCCCTCATTGCTACTAACACTGTGAGAGTGATCTTGAGAGGTGGAGCCATTCGAATTCCTCTACCTCTTGTACTCCAGCCACCACGACCTCTATTCTTTTGACTGGTTCTGGCTTGCAAAGCTTATTCTACAGCCTTTTCATTACTTCTCTCAATCACTCTCTACTCATGTGCCTCTAAAAAGTTTGCAACTCTTCAATAATCATAGTCTCAAGATCTTTTGATTCCTCTATAGCAACGACTATATGGTTAAATCAAAGAGTTAAGGTTCTAAGTACTTTTTCAACAATCTTGGAATTAGCCAACATCTCATCGCAAGCTCGCATCGAATTAGCTATAACTTAGATTTTGTTGGAATACTTCGCGATGGTCTCTTGCTCAGTCATGGATAGCAATTCATATTGCCTTCAAAGTGACTGCAACTTCACTTTCTTCATTTTCTCAGAGTTTCCATATGCTTGTTTTAGAATATCCCATGTTTGCGTTCAAGTTATGGCTGTGGAAATCTTCTGAAAAAAGATTGCAGGAACACACTGATGCAATAAAACTCGAGCCTTGCAATCCAATCTATTGTTCTCCTTATACGCTTCCTTTTGTTCTTTTGAGGCATTCTTGGGAGATTCTTTGAACCCGTTTTTGACAACTTCCTCAATTTCTTGAAACACAAGAATGGCATTCATCTTCACGCACCAATCATCATAGCCTTTCCCATCAAAGACAAGGAGGTTCCCAGGTATGGTACTCACAATAGCCATGGAAGCACACTTGTAGCAATGTTTCAACTCAATGTCAATGGTGTTGTCACTCTCACAGGTCCTCTCACACACAAACTTTGATACCAATGTATTGGGAACAAACTATACACATACACTCAAAAAATATACACACACAGAAGAAAATATAAGAGATTGAGAATAGAGGCTTTCTTATTCATCATTATTAAAAGATACATAAATACAACTATTTATATAAAATGTTGTAACTGTATAATTTTGTTAACATTTTAACAGAATTACTATACAACATTTAGAAATGTTATTAATATTTTAATTTTTGAAAAGTGAATATTATTTTATAAAATCAGAGATCGATAAAATTTTTAAATTTTAAAAAAATAAAATACCTAGCCCTTATAACTTTAAGAACTAGGTAGTGTTTTTTTTTTTTTTTTACTAATTTCTAAATAAGAAAAACAATGTCAATAATTGTGGTTGCCAAGTCATTTGTTACATTGAATAGAAACTAAAACACACAAACGTATTCAATTCAAGAGATATTGTAGCTTACTTAATTGATATGCTAAACAAAACGAATTTTCTAAAATGTCAAAAATAATTATTATGTTAGTGCCTTCAACGATCGAATGTCGCGCCAATTTTGCTGTTTGTCAGCGGTGATTATTTTTCCTTTCAAAATAGATTTAGAATTTTATGTAGGAGCAGAGGCGATGTGGTTAAAAAAAAGTTTAACTTTAGTTAGCTCAAAATTTTGTAAAGAAAAAAATCTAAATTCTTAAAATTATAATGTTATCGGGTAATGCGTTAATCAAATCAACCGAAGAAAAAGAAGGAAATGCGAAACTGCAAGAGCCGAGAGTAGGGAGAAGCAAAATGGCGCGTGATTGCAGGGAGAACGATTCCGATCCAACTCTTATTGCTCTATCACATCAGCATCAGCATCAGCATCGGTGAGTCTCTTTCTATTTTCCCGCAATCTTCAATTCAATTTTCACTTTCTCGATCTGTCTCTCAGTTAAACCAATTCGTGCATTCTCACTGTTCTTTACAATTGTTGTTTAATGCATTTATTCGATTTCTTATCATTTTCCTTAATTGTGTGAAACGTTATTTTTTGCGATGTGTTGTGACTAGTAAGACTTTTTCTGCGTCAAGCACCATTGATTGCATCAAATTGCTTTCTCTGGCAGGCTTAGTGATGATGGAACCAAAACTATAAATTAAAACCTAAAAAGTGATTGGATTATTATTTTGTTGTGTAATAACTATGGGGACTGAAAACCCTGGTCGTCCAACCTTCGCTTCAAGACCACCTTATGCTGCTGGACAGACTAACACACCTTTTCCACCAGCTGGTGCCATGGTTGGATCAGAGCCTCCTTCTTTTCGACCAACACCTCCTGCTCCTCCATTGGCATCCACACCATTTCCTTCACCTGGACCTGTGGGTGGACCCGGGGTGCCCAGTTTTAGACTCATGCCACCAGGGCAGTTCAATGACCACTCAGTGCCTTCTCCTGCTTCCAATGTTGCTCCTGCTGGTGGACCTTTCCAGCGTTTTCCGATGCCACACTTTTCCTCAACTGCTCAAGCACCTCCTCTGCGTGCTCCACCCATGGGGCAACCATCAATTCAGCCTTCTGTGGGTCAAACCCCATCTTTTCCAGCTTCTCTCCAGCCTCAGCCACAGCCACCTTTTGTTCCAATGGGGTCTCCTCCATTAAGTGCTGCTCCTTCAATTTCAGGTTCCAATGTTCCCCCTCCTGTGTTTCAGCCATCTTTTCCTGGACATGCCCAGAGACAGACTGGTGCAGAAACGCAAACTGCCCCTTTTCATTTCTCTGCCCCTCCCAATCAAGGAAATTTTGGACCTGTTCCACCTGCAGCATCTTCACCTTTTCTACCTCACCAAGGAGGTTACATTCCACATCCCCCAATGGTTGCTCCGTTAGGTGTCCAGTCTATTCAACACCCCAAATCTGGACCCCCTGTAGGTGCTGTTCAGGGCTTGATAGAAGACTTCAATTCACTCTCAATCCAAACTCGTCCTGGACTCATGGAATCGTCAGTTGATGCTAAAGAATTGCCAAGGCCATTGGACGGTGATGTGGAGCCGAAGTCTTTAGCTGAGATGTATCCCATGAACTGCAATCAAAGATATCTACGACTCACAACCAGTGCATTACCTAGCTCCCAGTCTCTATGTTCAAGATGGCATCTTCCTCTTGGAGTAGTTGTATGTCCTCTTGCAGAACCTTCTGATGGGGTTAGTGCCTCACTATCCTGTTTGGTCTGCTGTAACTCATATTGGCCATGTTATTTTTCTTTGTGCATTGATGTTTATTTGATTTCAGGAAGAGGTACCTGTAGTTAATTTTGCTGCAACTGGTGTCATACGTTGTAGGAGATGCCGCACATATGTGAATCCGTATGTGACATTCACGGAAGCTGGAAGAAAGTTCCGCTGCAACACCTGCTCCTTGCTTAATGATGGTAATTTATAAATTAATGTGCTTTACAAACTTAAAAGCAATAAAAGAATAAAATTGAAGTAATTAAATATCTATTGAGAAAAATGGCCTAAACTTCAGTCCATAACATTTTGAAATAAGAACATGCTTAGTGGTTCTTATTAAAATTGAATTTAAAGAAGAAAATTGAAGTAATTAATCTCCGTTGAGGAAATATTCATATGTTATTTGAAAGTGACCAAAGTGTCAGTCCGTCACGTTATGAAACAAGAACATGCTTAGTGGTTCTGATAATCATTAATTTCTGTATTTTTCCCATTTTATTAAATACGTGCCCAAAGGGTCACTTGATAAAATTGTGCATATACTTGGCTTGTTACATTTATGAGGTGGATTGTGGTGTCAGTGACCATGTGATTGGTATAATCTATCTTTCTTAAGATGCTAATATATTGAGTCTCATGATGTCAGTCCAGACTGCTAATATATTGAGTCTCATGATGCTATAATGAAAGTTGCTTGTTTACCTTGACTGTAGCTTGCATGTGTAATTGGTTTAATATATCTTTCTTAAGATGCTAATATTTTGAGCCTTAGTACAGTGCCTAGTGAATATTATGCTCAATTAGATGCCACTGGCAGAAGAGTTGATTTGAATCAACGACCTGAGCTTACAAAGGGTACTGTAGAATTTGTTGCCCCAGCTGAATATATGGTGCGGCCTCCTATGCCTCCAGTATATTTCTTCCTCATTGATGTTTCCATATCTGCAGTTAGAAGTGGAATGATCCAGGTAAGCACTTCACTTCTAGGTCTTTAGTCTTTAGTAGGTTTTGTTTTTATATATTGATTCCATTCTTTTCAGTGGCAATTGTTTGTTTCATATTAAATCTAGTTTATGTACAACTGAAGCTTGGAAGCAGTGTATAATTTGTACTGCATTCTGAGGATATCCTAAAAGGGAGTTTTCAGGTCTGATTTAAGAAAATAAATTGTACTGGTATGCAATATTTGGTCTAATTTTTGCACATAAATTGAAGAGTACGAACTCAGCTTGCTGGATGCATGTGATAAGTTTTGTTCAACTAACATGAAAAAAAAAAAAGTGGGCTATAATGTATTTTGTCTTAGATTATCTAGTGATCTTTCTCCAAAATCTTGTCAATGAAGATTTTCACTAAACTTCAAAGTTCTGATTTTATGAGTCAGCTTTTTTTAATTTTTTTTCACAAATTACTTCTTAAAATTTGTAGTGTTTTTGTTTAAATTTGCAAAAATAAATCAGATTTTGTAAAAAGTCAGAATTCTTATTATTTCAAGAAGCTTCTAAAACAACTATAGTTATAGATTTCAAATTTTTTGATAAAAGATGTTTTTTATAATTGTAACCAAACAAAAAAACAACTTATGCTTTTCATAAAATCTCTAAACAAAAATCACTTTTTAAACAGCTTAACTAAATGGACCCTATATCTTCTAAATAATATTAACCAATATCTTAAAACTAGACTGGACTGGCTGTTTTGATCATGAACTAGCAGTGTTACAAGTTGAGTTAACCTCTAAAAATCGGCCAATATGTTGAACTGGTAACAAAGCATCCAACTGTTAAAAACTGGATCAATCTGGTGAACCATTTGAACTGAATTGGGCTTTGTAAAATTGGTCAATCTAAACTGTTTCATGTTGCTGCCTGCAACCACTGAGAACAACTGCTGCTGGATGCCTGCAAATCAGTCCTTGCTCCCAAACCTCCATTACAGACCCACACACACAACTGAAGAAATAGAAAAGGTAGGCTGGACCATGGGGGGAAGTGCACGTAGGAAAGGAGGAAAGAAAAAGCAATTCTATGCTTTATTAGAACATGTGGGTTAATTGGGTAGAATTACTTTGAGGTAGAGTGTATTTTAAAGAATTTGATGGGCCAAACGCTACTGAGGCCCAACCAAATAAGGGCAGATGGGGAAAGGTCTATTTTCATAGGCCAAGGGCAAAGGTGGGAAAGGGTGAGATGGGGCAAGAGGTGTGAAGAGTTAGTTAGAAGAGAGAGTATGTAAGGGATAGCGAGTGCGGTTGGATGGGGCATGTATTCAGTTTTTCCTTAAGCTTAGGCTGGGCTTGGAGAATTCTCTCTATTGCTGGGAGCGTTGCTCTTATCACATTTGAATTTCAGTTCAATAAACTCATAATTCTCTCTTATGGGAATTTCATCCTATCAATTGGTGCTTTCATTGAGAGCTTAACATCAATGCTGGATCTTTTGTATGCGTAAATGAGAATGATGACACAGAGGATGGACTCCTTGGATGCTCGGATTGTTGTTGTTGAGTTGACTCATTAGGAAATATTGCTATGGTCTCACAAGACAACATTGAAGGGACACACAGTACAGCTGGGCAAACACTCAACTAAATTGGGTTCCTTGCTTACCAGTGTCAGGGAAATTACACTTTTACTTGCAGTAATGTGAACTGAAATCCAAAAGGGATTCCAGCAACAACAAAGCATTCTGACATCATTGGGGAGTTCATCAGACGTGATCAAAGGATCAAGAAAAGAGGAAAACACACCGAGGAAGGTTCATTGATACCTTATCTTGACGAGTATCATCTCATGGCCAAATGGATTGAACTACCTGCATTCGACGGAATCAATCCTGTTGGTTGGGCTTCTAGAGCGGAAGCCTATTTCGTAGTTCAAGGAACACCACCTGAGGCTCATGTTCAACATGCGCAGATTTGTATGGAGGGATTGAATCCCTCCATGGCATTGGTTCAAGGTGTTGAGGGAATTGAATCCTCAATTTTCTTGGGAGAACCTGAAGATTGCTCTCTTCGATCGTTACAGTGAACATCATTCTAGAAATCCTTTTGCTCAATTGAAATTGTTGTCTCAGGAGCAAACAATTGACGAATACATAGAGGAGTTTGTTAGAAGAGAGAGAGTATGTAAGGGATAGCGAGTGGGGTTGGAGCGGGCGTGTATTCAGTTTTTCCTTAAGCTTAGGCTGGGAATTCTCTCCATTGCTGGGAGCGTTGCTCTTATCTGTCTATAATCGCATTTGAATTTCAGTTCAATAAACTCATAATTCTCTCTTATAGGAATTTCATCCTATCGGAATGACTTTTGGAAGAATAAGTTTTTTACTATGGGAATTTTTTGCCAAAAGCAATTTTTGTAGAATGAGTTTTGCTTGGATATTGTCGAGTAAAATTACTTTTTATTGTAAGCATTGCCCCGTGCACACATTGTTCTATCTGCATAACTGTTTTAAAAATATTTATAATTTTTATGGACAAAATTGTCAAATTACACCCTAAACATTCGAAAAGAAATTTGCCAAGGAGTAACAAAATGTTGTCTTAGCTCTTAACATTTGTTTTTCTGGGCAATTTTGATCTATCGAATGCATTTTGCATTTTGGGTTACCAAACAACCAGGTCAACCCAAAATTAATTTCTATAATGCCAAATGAAGTGTCAGGTTCAGACTGCATTTTGTAGGTGTTATCCAAACTCACATTATTTCTTGATAGTTGATATTATTGTTCTTATTTCAGGTTGTTTCACAAACAATCAAGTCATGCTTAGATGAGCTGCCTGGCTTTCCACGAACACAAATAGGGTTTGCAACTTTTGACAGCACAGTACATTTTTATAACATGAAGGTTTGCAGTGTTATTACTTATTAGTACTATCATTGTTAATATATCTCCACCTTTGCATTAAGTGGATAAAATTTATGCTAATTATTCCATGTTACACTTTCCAGTCATCCTTGACTCAACCACAAATGTTGGTGGTCTCAGATCTGGATGACATATTTGTTCCCCTGCCAGATGATCTCCTTGTCAACTTATCTGAGTCAAGAAGTGTGGTGGAAACCTTTCTTGATAGTCTGCCATCCCTGTTCCAGGATAACATGAATCTGGAATCTGCTTTTGGTCCTGCTCTTAAGGCTGCCTTTATGGTTATGGTATGTTAATCCCTTTTATACCTGCTACTTTGAATATTATTATTATTTCCTGTAAGTTTTTCTTTGTCATGACTCATAAGTACTAGTGAGCTTTCTTACACCAAATGCATTGAATATAATTTTCTATTAATTGAAACAATTGTAACAATATGATTTAAAAGATTAGTTTCCACGGTAGAGAATGAGGGGATGACTGATATTGAGTGTAGCAAATGCAAGCTTTTAGTTATAATTTTCCATTATATGGGATCATGGTAATCCATAATTTAATTCTAGAAATCCACTAGCAATGCCAGTTATAATTGGAAGATCTGATTTAAATTTTAATTTTCAATCCTTGTTCTATTGCAAGCTCCAAATGGGGCTTTCATGTATTGCTAGGCACTCTAAACAACCAGAAAGTCATTGAATAAATCAGATATATCTTAAAGAAGCAAATTTCATGCACAGGAATGGAGCCCATGGTTTGTTAAATTCAAAGGATCATCCATTTAGGATTTATGGAATTTTAGTGCATGTTTCCCACCCCTTTAACAAGTCCCACTTTCTTATATGCATTAACTTTTTTGTGAACTTTCCTGCCTCTTTACACAGAGTCAACTTGGAGGGAAATTATTAATTTTTCAAAACACACTCCCATCTCTTGGTGTTGGTCACTTAAAATTACGTGGAGATGATTCTCGCATTTATGGTACAGATAAAGAACATGCGTTAAGATTGCCAGAAGATCCTTTTTACAAGCAAATGGCTGCTGAATTTTCTAAATACCAGATCTCAGTGAATGTGTATGCATTCAGTGATAAGTACACTGACATAGCATCTTTAGGTAAATATATACAATTTCTTCTAACTGCTCCATGTCACACAGTTAAATACTTCGGATTAATATTTGTGATGATTCTTTGTTGACACAGCATTGTTTTATGAAGGTTTGCCACATTTTTTGTGCTTTTTTCCCCCAAAAAAACTAATTCTGATAAACTTTACTTAATTTTCATGATCTCCACTTAATTTGGACTTGAATAACAAATTAAATTGAATTACTGTAATTTAATCAGCTGTTCTGTTTGATAATGCTGTGTGATTAAGGATGGATTGGACATCAACTAATAGGGCCACTCAAGTGTGCATCTACCTACTCCCTTTCTTTAACTTCTCAGTTGGGATTTTAGCCAATTATGTGATGATGCATACACATTGGCTTAGAAAATGCATGCATCTTTCCCTGTAATTTTGTTAAATTTGTTTCCCTTGTATAAGTGACCATCTGCTTATAAGTTACTTTGTCTAGGAACTCTTGCAAAGTATAGTGCTGGTCAACTGTATTACTATCCAGCTTTCCAATCAGTCACTCATGGGGAGAAGCTGAGATGTGAGCTAAGAAGAGACCTTACCAGAGAAACTGCCTGGGAAGCTGTAATGCGAATTAGATGCGCAAAAGGTCTGTGCATATATTATGTCTTGGGAATTTTGACCTTCTGTCTAGTGCAGCATGTCTGCAATCATATATACACACACACTCACACAATAACTTATAATTGTTTTTGTGATTCTAGGTGTCCGTTTCACAACTTATCATGGAAACTTTATGCTAAGGTCCACAGATTTATTGGCACTTCCAGCTGTTGATTGTGATAAAGCCTTTGCCATGCAGTTATCTCTTGATGAAACATTATTGACAACTCAGACAATGTATTTCCAAGTGGCATTGTTGTATCCTTTCTTCCATAATCCTTGAGATGAGTTATAATGCATGCATAAAGTTGTCTTTGCTGGTGATTTTGAATAATTTGTTTTATGATACTATGATAGGAACTAAGATTTTTATTGAATAAACAGAACCAACAAAGGGAGTACCCCCTGGTATTACAAGCAAGGTAATGGAAACAGAAAAATGGAAAACAGACCGCAGCAATCCAAATAACCAGTGAGAAATCCTCCATAGCCTTAGCTACCCTCCAATGACCTTCCTAGATATTTCCTCCCTCTGTCCTATGCTCTTCCTGCCTATATTACCTCTCTTTTCCCCCCAAATCTTTGCCTCTTCAACCTAGCCACGTATGCTGATTTGTTAATCTAGTAGAATCTAGCATAATGGCCTCCTGCTTCACCCTTCCCCACTTTACCCCTCTTTCTTTGATATGTCTTTAATGGGGGTCCAATTGGCTTAGACCCAACAATACCCCCTCCATTGAGAGGAACCTTGTCCTCAAGGTTGAAATGGGGAAACATGGCCTGAAGCATATCAAATTCCTCCCAAGTGCTATCTTCTTTAGGCAAATTCACCCATTTAATCAGAACCTCCCAATGCCTATTCAATAATTTCTGGGCATCCTCGGTCAGAAATGGTGGCAAGGCTTGGCTGACTTGACTGGTTGGTGGGGCTCTCTTGAGCTGGGACACATGAAAAATGGGGTGCAAACGTGATGATTCTGGCAGCAGTAATTTATAAGCAACAGTTTCTATTTGGTTTTCCAAGCGAAATGGACCATAGAACCTTGGGCTCAATTTCTCATTGATCTTTCTGGCCAATGTTTTTAATTTGTAAGGGCAGGCCTTCAGATACACCATATCCCCAATCTGAAATTTCACTTCTCGTCGTCCTCTTTCTGCTTGCTCTTTCATTCTCAGCTGTGCCTTAATTAAGTGCTGCTTTAGCTCCTCTATGATACTGTCCCTGACACTGTAGCAACTGGTCTACTTCATTAACAATTGTGATGTCTCGACAGTAGGGAATAACCATGGGAGGGTCCCGATCATACAATGCCTTAAAGGGGGTCATCTTGATGGAAGCATTGAACGAGGAATTAAACCAAAACTCCCCCCACGGTAGCCATTTCTCACAAGGGTGATCATTAACAAAGCATCTCAGGTATGCTTCAATGGTGAGGTTAGTTAATTCGGTCTGGTCATCCGTTTGAGGATGATATCCGGAACTGAATTTTAGCTGTGTACCCGAAAGACAAAAGAGCTCCTTCCAGAATGAACTAATAAAAATTGTCCCTGTCCGACACTATGGACTTGGGAAATCCATGTAAACGCACGATTTCCTTCACAACACAGCTGCTACAGCCTTAGAGGAATAGGGATGAAGCAAAGGAATAAAATGGGCATATTTGCTCAAGCTGTCCACCACCACCATAATGCTGTCTGCTGCCTTGGCCTTGGGTAACCCTCCAATGAAATCCATTGAAATGTCTTCCCATACGTGCTTCGGAATTGGTAAAGGTTGAAGAAGCCTTGCTGGTTTCAATGTCTCGTGCTTATTCTGTTGGCACACTTGACATTTAGCCACAATCCTTTCCACATCTTGTTTCATCCTAGTGCAATAAAAAATCATGGCTAGCCTCTTGTAAGTCCTTGTCACTCCAAAATGGCCACCCCAAGGTGACGAATGGAATTTCCTCAATAACAGTGGGATTCGGGTAGAGTCCTTAGGCAAAACTAGCCTTTGCTTATACCATAAACACCCCTGGGATACCGAATAATGTGGGTGAGAATTAGGATTTGTCACAACATATTGCATGATTCCCCTTAACTGCTCATCTCCCGAAACCTCTTCAGCCAACTCTACTAAATCAGAGTTGGTGACCATTGATATGGCACTACAAGTCATGACTCGGGACAATGCATCAGCTGCCTTGTTCTCTCGCCTCGGTTTGTACTGAATTTCGAAGTCAAAGCCCATTAGTTTGGTGACCCACTTCAGTTGCTCTCCCACCAACACCCGTTGCTCCAATAAAAACTTGAGACTCTTTTGATCGGTCCGAACAATGAAGCGATGGCAGAGACCTTGGCAAGGTCAGCAAAGATTCCCGTGGAGGAAATAACATGCCCAAGATATTCTAACTGTGATTCTACAAAATTGCACTTCTTGCCGTTAACCCACAACTCCTGGCTTTGCAGTTGTTGAAGATCCAAGTGCAAGTGACTAATGTATGATGCATAATCTATACTACACACTAGAATGTCATTAAAAAACACTAATACAAATTTACGTAAATACGGCTTAAAAACCTGATTCATCAGTGCTTGGAAGGTAGAAGGAGCATTGATTAGTCTGAAGGGCATGACCACGTACTCATAGTGCCCCTTGTATGTCCGAAATGCAGTCTTAGGAATGTCTTCTGGTCTCATATGTATTTGGTGGTATCTAGATTTCAAGTCGAGCTTGGAAAAAATGTTTGCCCCTCCCAACTCATCCAAAAGCTCCTCAATAACTGGAATTGGAAATTTATTTGGAATGGTGATGCTATTGAGAGCGCGATAATCCATGCAAAAGCGCAAACTTCTATCTTTCTTTTTCACTAGAATCAGAGGACTAGAGTAGGGGCTGGTGCTCGGCCTGATCATCCCTGCTGCAAGCATGTCCTTCACAAATTTTTCAATCTCCTCCTTGTGATGATGGGAGTGTCGATAGGGGCGAATATTAGGGATGGTAGCTCCTTCCTTCAAGACTACGGCATGGTCACACTCCCTCTTTGGTGGGAGGGAAGTCCCCTCCTTAAATAATTCTCCAAACTCTTAATAACTCCCTCAAAGCCCCAGGTGTGGTATCTGCAACCTAAGTAGGCATTTTAGTGCAGCCCACGATCATCATGCCCAATTCGACATAATAAGCTTCTGCTTCACCCCTCAACTCCTTTCTTATAGCCTTGAGCGAGAGGCCACGGTTCTGGACAATCCCACATCACCCTTGATCTCAATTATCCGTCCATCATTTTGCACCTCAATCAAGTGCTACTACAGGTCAGCACTGAACTTCCCTAGGCTTTTAAGTTATTCATACCCCAGAATCACATCTACCCCCACCAAATCAAACAAAAAAAATCTTGGATTAGTTGAAGGTTCGGCAGTTTCAGTATGATGCCCCTGCACACTCCGTGACTCCCCAACCTTTGACCATCTCCTACCTCAACGAAATATCCCCTTGTAGTCTCCGTTTGTATTTTCAACTCCTCTACCAGTCCTAGGGACAAGAAATTATAGGAGGCACCAGAATCAACCATTACCATGACCTTCTTACCCAGAATGGTTCCCCATAGCTTTAGGGAGTTCTTGGAGGTCATTCCTACGATGCTGCTCGCATTCAGCTGGAGGTTCACCTCCTCCTCATCGCTGTCCTCCATGGAAGCCTCCCCTGGGTCCTCCTAGTCTTTTCCCAACAAGATTATGTGGAGCTGTTTGTTGCGGCATATATGCCCGGGTGAGAATTGCTCGCTGTAACGGAAGCAAAGTCCCTTCCTTCTCTTCTCGCTCTCCTCTTCTTCAGTAAGTCTCCTGAACCCTAGACCTCTTCGGCTAGAACTCGTCTAGAAAGAGTCACGTGAATTATTCTGGTTTCCTTGGGTCTCAACTCAATTCACATGAAGTCGGGTTGGGTTCCTCACCCCTACTGGGTTCATTTCTTCCAACCCAACTCTTAGTAGTTTCTTGGGCTCTACCTCTTGAGGCCCAGTTTGTTTTAAATTCCGTTGACCCACTAGCTCTTCCCGTTGACCCATACAAGAAGCCCAATATCTTATTCTTCTCCTCAACCCTTTGCGCCAATTCCATGATTGAGCTCAGGTCTCCAGAATCTTGTAATCTTACTTCTGCCTTGATCTCCTCCCTGAGACCGTTGAGGAATGCGCCTATCATGAATTCCTCATCAGCAAAACGTAGCAGAGCCGAATACAGCTCGAACTGCTCCCTGTACTCGCCCACGGTACCTCTCTGCCTAAGCCCCATCAATACTTCATAGGGATTTTCTAACGTCGGTGATCAGAACCGACCCAACAACACTTGCCGAAAAATGGGCCATATAGACATTGGAACCCGTGGCTCTCACCATTGATACCGGTTGAGTGCTTTCCCTTCCAAGCAAACCACCGCCGTATCCACCTTTTTCGCCTCTGGTATGCTGTTGATCTCAAAGTATCTCTCTGCTCGATACACCCACCCATAAGGATTCTCTCCGGCGAAGTAAGGTACTTCAACTCCCCTTACTCATTCCTCCCTTTTCCATACATCTTCTTCTCCATTGCCACCATCTTGATGGTGATTATTCCCTCCCCTCTCTGTTCAGATGACCTGTAAAGCGGTCTCAAACCTCGTTGTCATCATCGTCAACATCTCATCTATTTGCCTCTGAAATTCCTCTTGAATGGAGGCTTGCATGCCCTCCAATCAATGTTCCACACTCTCCAACCGATTCTTCATGCGAGTCGTTACCATCAGGCGCTCCCAGGATCAGAAGCTCTGATACCAGCTTGATAGGAACTGAGATTTTTATTGAATAAACAAAACCAACACAGGGAGTAGCCCCTAGTATTACAAGCAAGGTAATGTGGAAAACAGACCGCAGCAATCCAAATCCTCCTATAACCTTAGCTACCCCCCAATGACCTTCCCAGATATTTCCTCCCTCTGTCCTATGCTCCTCCTGCCTATATTACCTCTCTTCCTCCCCCCCCCCCCCCCCCCGAATCTTTGCCTCCTCAACCTAGCCACATATGCTGATTTGTTATTGTTAGTCTGTTAGAATCTAGCATAACGGCCTCCTAGTTCACCCATCCCCATTTTAACCCCTCTTTCTTTGATATGTCTTTAATGGAGGTTCAATTGACTTAGACCCAACATACTACCATTTGAAATAGATACATAATCTCATTCTTACTACATAATCATTTATGTTAATCATAAGGATTGTTTCATTTATCACATTTTGCATTAAGAGATTATCTTTTAAATATTTTGAAGATTGTCTTAGTTATTTTCTTCCGTAAGAAATAATGAGATTCAATTTAATTTCAATCAATTTATCAGTGATTTATACTTGGGATCAATGATGATTCCTATTATAGGTGCTGTCATTTTTCAGTCTTTCCTTTTCTTTTCTTTCTTGCTTTTGGTGTTGCACTTGGGCACAGAATCACAAAAAAGAGTAATAAATATATAAAATTAACTTATTTTATCGTCTTTCCTTTTGTTTCAGCACATTTTATCAAGCTTATTTTTACTATTTCTTCTTCTCTGTTTTGCATCTATGTATGTAGATGTCTGTCATGCTTGTTATTAAGGTTGTTATGGCAATATGGTTACAATCTGAAACTTTTAAAATAAGGTTCGATCCCTAACAACTAAAATAGGTATACTGCATCCTGTGGAGAAAGGCGGATCAGAGTTCACACAGCAGCAGCTCCAGTAGTTACAGACTTGGTAGAGATGTACCGCCATGCTGATACTGGTGCAATGTTATCTCTGTTGAGTAGGTTAGGTAGGGTGACGTAACTTATATTCTAGTAATATCATATGTATAGATCATAGTTGCTTTTTGTATTATTAAACAGTTCCTTTATATTTGCAGCAATTGAGAAAACGTTGTCCCATAAGCTGGAAGAAGCACGGAGTGCTCTGCAACTAAGAATTGTGAAAGGCCTCCGAGAGTATCGAAATGTCTATCCTGTGCAGCATCGCTTGGCAAATAGAATGATATTTCCTGAGTCATTGAAGTTCCTACCCTTGTATGGATTAGCTCTTTGTAGATCAACACCTCTACGTGGAGGGTATGGGGATGTTCCGCTAGACGAACAGTGTGCAGCAGGATACACAATAATGACCCTACCAATAAAAAGGCTGTTGAAACTTCTCTATCCTAGTTTGGTTCGACTTGATGAATATCTTCTAAAGGTATACATTTATTTCCTTTGAAAAGTCATCTCAATAGAATGGTTAAAGTGTCTCCTCCTTGAATTATTTCTGTTTCTGTGGTTTATGTTCAGGCTGATGACTTGAAAAGCATTGATCGAAGGTTACCTTTGACTGGGGAAAGCTTGGATTCTAGGGGCTTTTATATACATGATGATGGCTTCCGATTCATTTTATGGTTTGGTAGAATGATTTCACCAAATATAGCCAATAACTTACTTGGATCAGATCATGCAGTAGAGTTATCGAAGGTATTCAAGAGAGTAAAGGAGAGCGAGAGAGTGCAAGGGTTTATTATTGTTATTGTAACTTTAAGCAGTTCCATTTTCTAAAGCTATTGTTTTATCTCAGCTTGTTCAATTTCTTCCAAAAGTGCTTTTTGGTTCTTAATTAAAACATGTTAATGCTCATGTTCTTCTCTCTCTCTCTCTCTCTCTGCATGTGTGCACAAGTATTTAAACAAAGTGATGATATTTTCTTTCACTGGAGTATTTGATAGCTATATTTGATATGCATTTCTCTGTGCCTCAGCTTCATGATAAAAAAAATTAATCCAACGGTGGATTTTATGCGAAATTTGTCCCTTAATAAGTTTATTCAGTAAGATGAGATTGATTTAGACTTACACCAATGTTGGTGGATATCTTAATCGATTATAACTTGGTAGATTTATTATGTTTTCTTCCTCTGTTTTTCTCGTTTCAACATTCATCTTGAACTGTATAAGTTTTGTTTTTTAAAACAGGTTACGCTTAATGAGAATGATAATGAAGTGTCAAGGAGGCTGATGAAGGTACTTGAGAAATTTAGAAGTACTGACCGTGCATATTACCAGTTGTGCCACCTTGTGAGGCAAGGTGAACAGCCAAGAGAAGGATTTCTTCTTCTTTCAAACCTTGTTGAGGACCAGATGGGGGGTAATAGTGGGTATGCTGATTGGATGCTACAGATTTCCCGACAAGTGCAACAATAGTAACATAGAGGTATTGGTTGTAGTTTTCTATTTGGCAGTTTCATTTATATCCGGTGGTTTGCATGCTGCCAATCAATGGTCACCATCTTTTAACTTGATGAATATCTTTTATCTTGTAGTAAGTGTCCCTATTATATACGAGTGGCACTACAGTGCCCTGTTGTAATTAACGTTGTATATGGGCTGTGAAGCAGTTTACGTTATATATCCTTAAAATGAGATTTGGATCACCCAAAACTCTTTCCAAAATGTCAGCAAGTTCTTGAGAAATACTGAGAATCCAGAACCATTTGATGTTTAAGATAGGGAGAAAACATTATGCAGAATTTAGTAGGGAAGTCTTTCAGCATGCGTATGTATATAGGGAGTGTGTCAAGTCAAAGCATGCAAGGTGAGAAGAATTAATCTTAAAGCATTAATTGGAAGAAAGATGATAAAAATATATTTCTGATTGATATCTAACTGTACATAATGGCTTATAATATATATACAATGCGAGATACTATTCTTCCTAAAAAACAGCAATTACATCTAATCATATCTATCACTATAAATGGAATAAATCTGTAAATAGAATAAATCTACACTAAATCTGTACAATATCTTAACAATATCTACACTAAATCTGTACAATATCTTAACAATATCTCAACATTCCCCCTCAAGCTGGTGAATGGATATCTATCATTCCCAGCTTGCATGTAAGTTCTTGAAACCGTTCCATGGGAAGTCCTTTAGTTAACATGTCTGCCAGTTGGAGCCCTGAAGGAACATGTGTTGTGGCTATTAATCCGCTGTCCAACTTCTCTTTGATGAAGTGTCGGTCAATCTCAACATGCTTAGTTCTGTCATGTTGGACCGGATTATGAGCAATACTGATTGCTGATTTGTTATCACAAAACATCTTCATAGGAGCTTCATATTTTATTCTCAAGTCATCTAGTATGATCTTCATCCATAGCAATTCACAAACACCTTGTGCCATAGCCCGAAATTCTGCCTCAGCACTTGATCTAGCAGCAACATTTTTCTTTTTACTTCTCCAAGTCACCAAATTCCCTCCAAGAAACATGCAATAACCTGATGTTGATCTTCTATCAATAAGGGATCCTGCGTAGTCAGCATCGGTGTATATTTGCATGGATAGGCTTCCACCCCTTTTAAACAACAATCCCCTTCCAGGTGTGGCCTTAAGATACTGTAGGATCCTATCAACTGCCTGCATATGTCTAACCCTTGGATCATGCATAAATTGACTGACTATACTAACAGCATATGCCAAATCTGGTCTAGTATGTGCTAGGTATATCAATCTTCCTACTAGTCTCTGGTATAGTCTTTTATCAACTTTAGGACTCTCCTCATCACTTCCTATTCGATGGTTTTGCTCAATGGGAACACCAGTAGCCTTGCAACCAAGCTTTCCAGTTTCTTTGAGAAGATCTAAGATGTATTTCCTTTGTGAAATGAAGATACCTTGTTTAGAGTAGGCAACTTCAATTCCGAGGAAATACTTCAGTTTCCCAAGATCTTTCATTTCAAACTCAGCTGCTAATTTTTTCCTCAGAAGCTGCTGCTCAACCAAATCATCACCCGTTATGACAATGTCATCAACATACACTAATAAAATAGTGAGTTTTCCATCTAGTGTATGTTTAAAGAAGAGGGTATGATCTCCTTGACTCTGTTTGTATCGCAATGAAGTCATCGTCTTCGTGAACCTTCCAAACCAAGCGCGAGGGGATTGTTTCAATCCATACAATGCCTTTTTCAGCCTACACACTTTGTTTGTCTCGCCAGTGATGTTATAACCAGGTGGAGTCTCCATGTAAACCTCCTCCTCTAGGTCTCCATGTAAAAAAGCATTTTTTACATCAAATTGATGTAACTCCCATCCAAAATGAGCAGCAAGGGAGAGCAAGATTCTGACTGTGTTCATCTTGGCTACTGGGGCAAACGTCTCCTCATAGTCAATCCCATATGTCTGTGTATATCCCTTTGCGACTAATCTTGCTTTATATCGATCTAATGAACCATCAGATTGATATTTCACTGTATATATCCATCTGCATCCAACTGATCTTTTGCCATCAGGTCTCTCAACAATCTCCCAAGTTCCATTCTTCTCTAATGCTCTCATCTCCTCATTCATAGCTTGAACCCAATTCTCATCCTTCAATGCTTCTTGTACGGAGGTTGGGATTTGGATAGAGTCTATGGCTGCAATGAAACTCTCTGGTGCTGCAAAGAAAGGTGTTTAGAGGAGACAAATTGAGAAATAGGATACTTGGCACAAGTCCTTTTTCCTTTTCTCACTGCAATTGGTAGAGTATCTAGGTTAGGCTCACAAGTATTCAAAGGATCATTTTCCAAGTCAGGAATGAAAGAGTTAGTACCTTCAATACTTACCATAGGTTCAGACTCTTGAAGTTGCTGTTGGTTTGATTCAGGTTTCCTTCTCCTTTGATACACCAAAGTTGGTGTAGCTGCTTTAGGTGGTGGAGTAGAGGGTATCAATTCTTGGGTAGAGTCAGATGAGTTTCTAGTAGGAAGTAATGGCTCTTGCGTATTAGTGAAAGGTAAAGGCTCTTGTGTTGGAGGAAAAAATAGGAATGACTCAGGGATAAATGACTCAGCTTTTGAAAGACTCTCCCCCTGAAGCTGAGGACGGAAGAAAGACTCAGTCTCATGAAAGGTGACATCCATGGAAGTGAAGAACCGACGACTGGATGGGTGAAAACATTTGTATCCCTTTTTATCAGGAGCATAACCTATGAAAATGCACTTAACAGCTCGGGAATCAAGTTTATGACGATGTTGACGATGCACATGAACAAAAACCACACACCCAAAGATTCGATGTTGTAAAGTTTGCATAATAGGAACAGAGGGGAAATAGGATAACATAAGTTGCACAGGGCTCATATTTCCAAGAACACGAGAAGGCATGCGATTAATTAAATAGGTAGCAGTTAAAACAGCTTCACCCCAATATGAATTAGGGACAGACATCTGAAAAAGTAAGGCCCTAGTGACTTCTAATAAATGCCGATTTTTTCTCTCAGCCACACCATTTTGTTGTGGAGTATCCACACATGTAAATTCATGAATAATGCCATGCTTTTTAACAAAATCAGAAAATTGTTGATTCACATACTCCCTACCATTATCAGAATGCAAACGTTTGATAGTTTTGCTAAATTGTGTTTGAATCATATTATAAAATTGGACAAACAATTGAAAAACTTCTGATTTATCTTTCATTAAAAACAACCAGGTTACTCTTGTGCAATCATCAATAAAGGAAACAAACCATTTAGTGCCAGAGATATTAGGAATAGAAGCAGGACCCCAAACATCAGAGTGAATAAGTGTGAAAGGCTCGTCACATTTATTAGAACTAGATGGAAATGACACACGATGGTGTTTTGCAAATTGACAAACATCACAATGAAAAGACTCAACTGACTGGTTGACAAACAATGATGGAAACATAGACCTAAGTAGGGAAAAAGGCGGGTGACCAAGACGCTTGTGCTGTAACCAAATTTGAGAGACTGTAGACTCTGAACTTGTTTGGTGACATGAAGAAAGTACCCTCTGACTGGAACCACCTATAGCTTGTAACTTGAGGAGATAGTATAACCCTCCTGCTTCCTTAGCAACTCCAATCGTCCTCCCCGTGGCAAGATCCTGAAAGACACAATGGGAACGGAAAAAAATGACTGCACAATTATTGTCTTTGAGAAGTTTATGAACAGAAATAAGGTTATGGGAGAGCTGAGGGACATGAAGCACATCATGTAAGTGTAGGAAAGGGTGAAGGGAAACAATACCGGAGCCTGCAACTGAGGTACGGGAACCATCAGCTACAGTTATATGGCGTGTGCCTAAGGTGGAATGGTAAGAAATAAAATGTGGGGTGTGAAAGGTCATGTGGTCAGTTGCACCAGAATCAATTATCCATAAATCCTCAGGTACAATACTAGAAGCATTAAAAGATTGAGAATAGAAATTCTTACCAGACAAGGTTAGAGAGCAAGAGCCAGAGGGCTTACTAAGAGAGGTGAGGAGAGTTCTCAAGTGGGCAAGCTCATCTTTACTAAGGGCTGGAACTTCATTCTCCACTGGTGTATGTTCTGATGTGATGATATTTTCTGAGGTAGTCAGATTGGCCTGACTAGGGGACAAGCCTCGAAATCCTCCCATGCGACTAAGAACATTGTCCTTGCCATGAAGTCTAAAACAATTCTCCTTAGTGTGTCCAGGCTTCTTGCAATATGAACACCAACGATTATCTCGGGAAGGCTTCAAAGAAGTTGAAGAAGGTCCTGATTTTGCTGTCTTACCTGCAACCAAGGCGGATCCGGCCGTGGGTTTGTCGTCAAGCATAACAGCTCTACGACTTTCCTCGCCTCGAACAGTGTAAAACACCTCAGACAATGAGGGTAGTTTCTCTTTACCCAGAATCTGAACCCGAATAGGGTCATATTCTGGATTCAAGCCAGAGAGAAATTCAAAGACCCTATCCCTGTTAACAAAATCTGTCAGGATGGAAGCATCTTTGCTACATTCCATCTGCAGATTCTGGTATTGATCCAATTCAGCCCATAGACCAGTAAGAATCCCATAGTAATCTGTCATAGTCATTGCTCCTTGCTTGATTGAGAAAATCTTCGTCTTCAACTCATAACAAGTAGCAATATCTTGCTTCTTAGAGAAAGTCTGGTGAAGGACATCCCAAATCTCACGAGAAGAGGATAGGAACATACAATTACGACTTACATCGGGTATCATAGAGTTCCACAGCCATGTCATAATAAGAGAATCTTCATCATCCCAAGCCTCAAAGTGAGGGTCTTCCTTGGTAGGAGGATTTCCCTCAATGTGGGATAATTTTTGACGACCTTTGAGAGTACGCCGGATAACTTGAGCCCATTGCAAATAATTTTTCCCATTCAAGTGATAGGTAGGGTGTAGGACAGGAAGGTCATTAGGATTTAAAGGTGTAGGTGGATTGGGAGAGGAAGTTGAAGTGGAATGGGTAGCATTAGTGGTGGTTTGAGGGGTGATTTTAGGTGTTTCGGATTCTGCCATAGGTGGCCGGAGGTAGGTCAGAGTGATGCTGCGGTGGTCGGATATGAAAGAGAGGTTGGAGAAAAAATGGCCAGAAAGTTGGCCGGCAGCGGTAACAGTGGTGGGTGTGGGAGAATACGACGGAAGAAATATTGGGAAAACAAAAAAAAAGAGGCGTTAGGGAAGAGACAACAATTAAGGTTGTAGAAATTGTCCAGCAATGAAGGCTGGAATGTAGCGGAAGGTGTTCAGGCTCCCAGGTCGGGAGCTCTGATACCAAATTGGAAGAAAGATGATAAAAATATATTTCTGATTGATATCTAACTGTACATAATGGCTTATAATATATATACAATGCGAGATACTATTCTTTCTAAAAAACAGCAATTACATCTAATCATATCTATCACTATAAATGGAATAAATCTGTAAATAGAATAAATCTACACTAAATCTGTACAATATCTTAACAATATCTACACTAAATCTGTACAATATCTTAACAATATCTCAACAGCATTCAATCTCACATAAATGTTAAAGGTTGTTTTTACATAAATTCAATCTTGACCACTCATTTGAGATTTCTCGTCTCACTGTGTCTCTATGTTTACATAGTTTCCTATTGCTATTGATAACTTCACTGATTTGAACATATTCATAAATCTACTTTTTAAAGCGATTCCCTTTTGACATTTTTCATGGCTTAATAATATGCAGGGTTTTTGTCAGGCTCGTTACCTTTCTTATAACTGAAGGACCATTTCTACATTAGGAATAAAATTTGAGCTTGGGGATGCATTATAAAACCGTGGATAGTTGACTTGGTTAATGGCGACTGTAAGTTCATTCTGGAATGTAACAATTAGGTGAAGTGTATCTTAGCTATTAGTCCTGTCTTAGGTATAGAAAATAATTTATTTTAGATACGATCCAATTTTATATGATATATTTCCTTTTTTGATTCGTTGGTTGGTTGGGGTGGAGTAAACAGAGAAAGAAGTGAAGGTATGTCAAAATCAGTCTGCTAATTATTGAATTTTGTTTGGTGGTAATTCATACCGATTTTTAAAAGTTGGAACTGATTTCTTCCAAATCACTAGTTAACCTTGTATGCAAACCGGTAGAGGTCTGCTTGTTTGGGTCATATGGAAGAGCATATGATTGATCTGTTACGAGTATGTTGTTTTTTGTTATAGCTATCTTCGGTAAAGTAGCTTATAGCTTATTTAAAAACTTGTAATTTATTCACTTGGTCAAACTGTTTCTGTTTGGTAAATACAAAATAAAAAGAGCTTGTAAACTAACTTTTTAAAAACCAGCACTTGGCTTTTAAAAATTAACTATCAATATTTCTATTATATTTTTACTTTTTATTTTATTTGAAGAAAAATAACTTACTAATTACACAATTAAATCCTAACATTACATATACTAGTCTTATTTTATTTTATTTTATTTTTTGTTATCTTCACCTTTACAATAGTTTCATTCTTTTTCTTTCTTCTATTTTTTTCATCTACTCCTTGTCTTTTTTATCAAAATGTATTTTTTTTAAAATATGACTTAGAATATTACATGCTCAAATATATATGAGATTTTTTATTTTTTATATAATTATTTAATTAATTAATTATAAATAAAATAAGTAATAATTAATTTTAATAGTACGTTAATATAATATAATATAATATATCATTTTATGTTTTTTAACACAACCTAGTTAGTTGCACACTTAATTTATTAAACAATTATAATTCTATAAATTACTCATACTCGTTTAACTACAAGTCTACATTTTTTATTTTACTAAACATAGTTTATATTTGATAAAGTTAAAAGTTATTAAATATTATATAAAAATATTTAATTAACTTGTAAAATAATAAATAGTTTTCTTATTAAGTTGATGTACCTAACATTTTTAACACATAAAATTATCATTTTCTTATCAAAATGTACAAAATTACATTAATTTTATTTCAATATTATTTTTCTTAGTACATACAAGAGATTTTTTACATCAAAGTAAAAAACATTTAACAAACATTATATTAATGTATTTTATTTTTTCTATAGGATATATAATAAGAGTTTTTTATCTATTAAAAATTATAAGGAAATGTAAAAATATATATTTAAATTATTAGAATACAAAAATCAAGAAATATATAAATAAAACAATAAAAATAAAAAAAATGTTATGTAATGTTTTTAATATAAAAGACATTCCACATGGGCTTTTTATATTTTTTTTAAAAATAAATTTTTAAATTAAAACTTTTAAAAATATTTTTTTTGTTTGGAATATTTTTGCTAAGTCAATATTAATTTTATTTAAGTAAGGGATGAAACTTATTTTTTTAAAATGTTTTTAATTAAGTTTTGTATGCAGAAAATATGAAACTAATAGATTAAGACAGTGTCACAATCTTATTCATTTTTGTTTATACCAAACATAGAAAAAAAAAACTTTTTCTTTTTAATTCAAATTTGAACAACTAGGAATAATTAGATAACTTTGACACATGATGCATTTTTTATAAGATTTGTCCCTAACAAAGATGAAACAAAGTTTTATTTGTCTTAAGAACAAAACTTACTAGATTGGGTCATGTGTCACCATCAAGTAAGTTTTGTTTGTTACAAGGGCAAAAGTTGTACAGAATGTACCAGTATTAATGCCCATTGGGTAAAATGATGTAAATACACTCTTTTATTCAAGAAAAAATTGTATATAAATAACGATCTAGAAGCATTTGTGAGAATGGTTTGTGATATATGAAAAATCAATTTGGAGAAGTCTAAGGGTATCCAGTTAGAAATATTTTTTATTAATATGTTTAATATTTATTAGTTATAAAAATCTAAATAAGTTTAATTTGATTATTTAGTTATTTTAGTTAAAGTTGTTTGAATAACTTGAAATAATTTATATCACGCAATTAAGTTGTTCTTTATTTTTATTTTGTTACTTAGATAATATTATTAGATTAATAATTTTATGAATAAATTGAATACAACTAAAATATTATTTAGTGGTATTTATTAAAAAAATAATAGATTAAATTAACTTAATTATATTTTTGGTCCTTAAAAAGTTAAAAAAATTAGGATTTAATTTCTATCGTTAACTTTCTTCTATTAAGTGCTCAACATACCAATATGACGCTACGTGACATGCTACATCATTTAGTTTTTATTTTTTATTATTTAAAATTATATAATTACAAATAAGTCCTTAAACATATTTTTATATAATTGCATAAAAGCTTTTTTTACTTTTTTTTCTTTCTTCTCGGCAACCCACCCTTTACCTCCCTTTACCTCTCCACAACTCCCTTCCAACACCCTTTCCCCCACCCCCACTCTTTTTCCCTTCCCCACTCCCACCCCTCCCTTATCTAGTACCTTGACGGATGGATTTTTTCTATGAAACATTCAATCTCTCTGTGGATGCGAGTCTTGCAATTATCTCCATCTCACTCTACAAACAAGGCTTCAACACATTAGTGGTGCACCTAAACCCACACCTCTAAGCATATTCATGAATCTTCTTCCCCAACCCGAGCATTCCAAACTTGCCACATGCAGAACTTACCTCAGCATATCTAGATATTATTGTTGTCCAAATCACCAAATTCTTAACAGGACACTTATCAAACAACACCCTAGCCATAACCATATCCCCAGCCTTATTATACCCATAAACCATCGTAGACCACGAGATAACATTCCTCTTAGGCATTCTCTCGAACAACTCAAACGCCTTCTCCATCTCCCTTGCCTTAGCATACCCATCCAAACATCGTGTTCCAACAAACCAAATTCCTCACAGGCATTTCATCAAATAGCCTACAAGCACTCTTCAATTCACCACCTTTAACCAACCCACTGTAATGAGGCACTCAAAAAGGAAGTAGTAAACGGAGCAGGGAAGATTATTCTCTGTTAATGGAAATGAAGGGACGTATAGACACAATGAAATTTCATAAAAATAGTACTCTGCAATACGGAAATGGTTCTCAAATGAAATACCAAATGAAACAGGGAAATTGAATCAGAGAGAGAAGAAATTCCAACAACACTATCCCCCCTTTCTCACTAAACGGTTATTGCATTTATACTAGCAAATAGCCCACTCAAAGTCCTTCAGCGTTGTGCTTACGCTCTTGGATCGTGCGCCTTTGTCTCTCATCATGCTTTTTGTGCCTCCCGCCACGTGTCCATCCGTGATTATTCCCTCCGTCATAATCGACCTTGTCCTTAAGGTGGAAGTTAGGATAAGCTTGAGTAAGCACTGAATTATCTTCCCAGGCAGCATCATCGGCTAAACCATCTTCCCATTAAATGAAAGATTGTGGAACTTGCTGATTCGCTTCCAGTATCAGACGAGACTTAAAGACAGGAATTGGTTGAATGACAGGAGATAAATCTGAGTCACAAATTGGCAAGGGCACAGAAGGTTGATCATGGTTTCCACGACACAATTTTAGCTGAGAAACATGGAATACTGGATGAATTCTAGCTGAATCCGGAAGCTTTAATTTGTAAGCAACCTTCCTTACTTTCTGCATGACTTCAAAGGGACCGACATATCTCAGGCCAAGCTTCTGATTCTTCCTCAAAGCTAATGACTAATGTTGATATGGTTGCAATTTAACCAACACCAAATCACCCATGTCAAATTGCACATCCTATCTTTTCATATCAACATACTTCTTTTGAATCTGTTATGCCTTTTGCAAATTTGTTTTCAACTTTTGCAATATAGCATCTCATGTCAACAATTGCTCTTTCACAGTAGTTGGATCATTATCATCAGGGACATATTTCAACAGCTGAGGACGATCACAACCATACACAGCTTTAAAGGGTATCATACTAGCACTTGTATGATAGGCTATATACCAATATTCTGCTCAGGAAAGAAATTTGGACCATTCTCTTGGAGAGTCAAAAGTGAAACATCTGAGATATAGTTCCAAACACTTGTTGAGAACCTCGGATTAACCATCGAATTGAGGGTGATATACAGATGACATTTTCAATGTTGTGCCATTAAGTTGTCACAAATATTTCCAAAACTGACTGGTAAACACTTTATCTCTATTGGATATAATGGACTTAGGAAATCCATGTAATTACACTATAATTTAAAAAAAAATCTCAGCTACCACTTTGCTAGTATAGTCAGTCTTCAATGGTATGAAATGAGCTGCCTTAGACAATCTATCAACCACAACATAGATCATAGTGAAGCCATGAGATGAAGGCAGGCCATAAATGAAATCCATGGCCAATTCTTCCCAAATTGCATTCGAAATAGGTAAGGGTTGTAAAAAACCCAAAGGTAAAGTAGTAGCAACTTTAGCCTGTTGACAAATCAAATATTTTTGAACAAAAGACTTAATGTTCTTATGCATACCCTACCAATAAAATTGAGCAGCAATTCTAGCTAGCGTTCTAGAAAACCCAGCATGTTCCCCAATCAAAGAGCTATGAAACTCTTGTAAGATGTTCTGTAAAAGGGCATGGCCAACAGATACCATGTAACACCTTAAATTTTACTTCAAAATAATAAATTTCACAAAATGGGAATAATAAAATTTCATTTAAATATAATTTCTCAATACAGAGTTTCATTAAAATATTTCAAAATAATAAGAGATTACAAGTTTATATCAATAACTACTATATGACCTAATTAATTACATCAAAATTTCAAAATAAAATCTAAGTCCTATAGCAGTTTCATCCATCTCTTCACTAAGCTCAGTGTTGATCATCTTGGTTACTTGAAAAATAAATGTAAAGGTAAGTACTCTACACTATCCAATACACATAAGCATAGATACTCACCATACGCACTCCACATGTATTTCTCACATATTCTACTTAATTACAATTAATCACAAGCAACACTTTCAAGAATTTCATTTCAATCACAATCGGTGCGCTCACGGCACCAATAACATTCACACGTGCACTCACTACACATAGTTATAACGCTCCAAATTTTGTAATATAACTTAATAATTAATAGATGTGATTACTTGGATTTTCATGTGTTGTTATTTATTAGTATATATGTATGTTGGTATTAGACTAAAATTTTGGTTAAGTGTTTTGGTGCAGGATGTTCTTGCTGTAGTGAAAGATGTCTCGCTGT